TAACGATACTAGGGTGATTCCACGTCAGTTCATGCAATGATGGTCCGGGTCATAATTTAGATACTTTTGTTAAAAATATATATGAAAGCCATGTTTTTGGGAGGAACATTCAGCTAGATATGAACGCCGTAACAATTTTTTTCGCTGAGATATAAAATAGAGAAGCTTGACGCGTGGAAATTGAGAAGATTTCACAATGCTACTTTGCACAGTCGTCATTTCCTTATCGAACCTTTCACGGCACCATAACTTTTTTAATAGGTTTTAAAAAGGTTATACAACACATACACAAAAAATTAAAAATATCAATAAAATATTTCTATGCAAACAAAAATATCAAACATGGCATAAAAACGCGTTTTAGAGACATATTCACAATTTTTTTGCAAATAAACCATCTTTCATAATACTTCACAAAACATATCAAAATACGGGTATTTACATATTCTTTACGGATATGTAAAAATTATAAGCCCACCCTTAATTGTCTTCTTGTTATTAACACGGAAATGCGGCTGATTTCTCAAAATGTGGCAAGATTGGGCGTCGATATCTAAAAAACACCATCTTTTATTTTTTTTTTAACTCCCCGTGGCACTTTACAGTGACTTGAACTAACCTATGATGGCAAAAGATAGAGTAACATATGGCCTCCAAGCGGGAAAAGCTACGACAAACCTTCTCTCCGAGCGAGCCGACGTCTTCGTCAAGGCGGCTTTGCCGCACAGCACCAAACGTTTTGAGCGTTAGTTATGGCATGTATTTTATATTATTAAAATTCTTTTTTTCATAGGGCTGAGTATTAGTGACGCGAAAATGGACTTTGAGCTGGAATACCATTAATTAGCTTACAATTCACAGGAACAAAACGGCCCCACTGTGCGAATTCGCTAACTATGCATAGATAAGCTTAAAACTCTCAGTTATGCGAGTGGCCGTGTACACATTCGGCCTCTCGGCATATGCTGACTTCCACCGATGAGAAGCCTGGATTCCTCTCACAGGTTTTATGGTGGTCCACTCTGCTTGCTTTACCGCACGAAACTCTCGAACCCGTTCCACAGACAGGTGGAACATGCAGACATTTGTTACTTTTTTACGTAGCACTTCCACAAAAGCTTTAGCGGTGGCAATCGTTGAGTTGAGCGAAGATCTCAACTTGGTGAGTGTTGGTTCTTCCACCTACTTCATCACAAGCGCTTTCTCCGTGTCCAGTGGCTGAAAAGATCCATCTTGCCGAAGAGTGCGGCTTCCGAGACAATTCGTGGAATTAGAAGCGATTCTTGAAATGCGCCGCCGCTCCGTCTGATACAAAAATTATTTCAGAAAAGACTGGGAAATGAACATTAACATACTCTTTTATGGCCTATGTGGCTAGAAGAGCGTGAGCTGTGTCATGTGTCGTGTACCATCGGTGACAACGGCAAAGCTTTGCGTGCCTTGCGTGGACGTAATCACACTTGAGAAGAGAGACACTTGAGATTTTTTTCAATGAAAACTGTGCACTTCGGTTGGAAAAAGTACTGTCCATTTTTCCGCAAAATCGAAGTGGTTCACCACTGCCTTGGGTGGTAAGGCGGTCCTTGTGTCATGTATCAGGCTTCGTTCAAGATCAAGGATGTCAGAATGCCTCATATACTTTTCGCTCTCCTATTGCCGCAGGAAGGCAGAAGTGTCCATAACCTTTTTGACGAGTTCGCCAGCGTCCCATAACGCGAAACAGATCTCTCCGTCTTCGTCGAGATGAAGCGACTGCAGCGAGATGCTCTGCGTTTTTGGGCGCTTTTCGCAACGGCGCAGAAAGCAATCGTTTTGTGGAGCGCAGCAGAGGTAGATGCGCTTGAGTTCGTCTTCAGTAAATGTCTTCTTTGGGGCATTTGCAACTGAAAATTGACGCAATATATGAATGCGCACACCTCGTGCTCGAGACTTTTTTTTTTACATATTTTGGTCGTAAGGAATAAAATTTGGAGATGCCTAGTTCGGGATGGGGATGGTCCTTCCTAAACAGCTGGTAAGCTTCCTTAATAGAGCGGGTCATAAACCTTTTTACGACTTTGGACATGTCGTTGATCATGGCTTTGACGACGTCCTTTTTGTTGGGGCTTTGAACAGAGCATGCGAGGTCGTCGCGTGTGTAGTACTCAATTGCAACCCTCACGCCTTCGGCATTCGCCTTTTTCCCCATGTAGGGATCAGGAGTTGCCCAAACACCACCTTTGCGCTTCAGTTTTCATGTTTGATCAATCATGTAGGCAGTCGCTTCCGACGCCAGACGCAATATTTTTTTCTTCAGGATGATTTGTGGCAGAAGCACGTACAATCGCTTGCGTTCCTGGTGGGAACTACATGCCTTCCGCGCTTCGCAAAACGCGGCAAACCACTCTGCGCAGTGCTCACAACTGTCTTCGAGTTCGAGAGTTTCGTGCGGTGAAGCAAGCAAAGTGGACCACCGTAAAAACTGTCAAAGGAATCCAGGCAACTCATCTGTGAAAGTCATCATATGCCGAGAGGCCAGATGTATACATGGTTATTCGCGCAACTGTGAGTTTTAAGCTTATGTATGATGCATAGGTAGCGAATTTGCAGAGTGGCGCCGTTTTATTCCTGTGAATTGTAAGCTAATTAATGGTATTCCAGCTCAAAGTTCCTTTTCACGTCACTAATACTCACCGCTTATAAAAAAAATAATTTTAATAATATAAAATACATGCCATAACTAACGCTCAAAACGTTTGGTGCTGTGCGGCAAAGCCGCAATGACGAAGACGTCGGCTCGCTCCGAGTGAAGGTTTGTCGTAGCTTTTCCCGCTTGGAGGTCATATGTTACTCTATCTTTTGCCATCACAGGTTAGTTAAAGTTACTGCAAAGTGAAAAGGGGAATTTAAAGAAAATAAAAGATGGAGTTTTTTTTAAATATCGACGCCCAATCTTGCCACATTTTGAGAAATCAGCCGCATTTCCGCGTTGATAACAAAAATATATTTAAGGGTGGGCATATTATCTTTATATATTCGTAAATAATATTTAAATACGCGCATTTTGATATGTTTTGTGAAGTATTATGAAAGATGGTTTATTTGCAAAAAAATTGTGAATATGTCTCTAAAACAAGTTTTTGTGCAATGATTGATATTTTTGTTTGCATAGAAATATTTTATGGATATTTTTAATTGTTTGTGTATGTGTTGTATAACTTTTGTAAAACCTATTAAAAAAGTTATGGTGCCGTGAAAGGTTCGATAAAGAAATGACGACTGTGCAAAGTAGCATTGTGAAATCTTCTCAATTTCCACGCCTCAAGCTTCTCTATTTTATATCTCAGCGAAAAAAATTGTTACGGCGTTCATATCTAGCTGAGTGTCCCTCCCAAGAACATGGCTTTCATATATATTTTTAACAAAAATATCTAAATTATGACCCGGACCATCATTGCATGAACTGACGTGGAAACACCCACTATGCATGCACAAGGGAGGCGGTGGCGGAGTACCGGGTATCGTTATCGGAGTCATGGGAACCATCTACCAAAACTCTCTAATGGCGATACCTGAAAACTATGTATAAACGATTGCAAGTAAAGCGGGTTTCACATGCAGCGATTCCGCGGCCGAAATCACGGCCGCTAGTGGCACCGCGGCACGGATCGCGAGGTTACATTTCACATGAGCGTTTTCTGCCGCTGCGATGGCCAATGTTGCTTGCAGCAAGCAGATTCGCAAGTTCGGTTACAGCGGCTTCTAACAACAATTTTAACGCCGTAGTTTTTAGTTTCCTCTTTAATTTCACCTTAATAAAACAAAACAAAAAGCGTTTAAAATACTAAACAAACATTGGTTACGGTGTTTGTGGAGAATAACATAGAGGACGAAAACCGGACCACACGTTTCTTGACCAGCACGCTCCTTTTCCACGAGAGAACTTTAGTCTTATTTGTTTAGGTTTTTTTTTTTCTTTTTTCTCGGACTTCGTTCTGGCGGAGTTTGAAACATCGGATCATCCTCAGCAGCGTCACGGGCAGCGCCTTCCTCGGATGCAAAGACTCCGACTAGAACACTGTACTCTAACTGAAATGGCCGACCCAAACCTCCTCGAAAGCATTGGAGTTGTTGGTATTTCCGAAATGTGCAGTGGTTTTCATACCGGTCTTGTCCTTCACTTTCACGGCCTCAGTCACCTCTTCCCAGAGCTTCTGTATGGTCCCATTGTTCCTAAATTCGTTGAGCTGAGCGTCCATAAGAACCCGACGCTTCGACGCTGTACTGATAAGCAGTTCATTGAACTGGGCGCGATACATTTTGTTACGACGTGGCAAAGCCCGTCGCGAGTAAGACAGGCGTCCGGTGGTGGCTGAACGACTCCGAGGTTTATCGGTGCTCTGAAGACAAAAACGAGGATCGAACGCCACGTGCCAAAGCGAAAAACCACACGATCAAAAGAAAAAGAAAATATACACACGTGCTTTGGCACGTGATGAACATGATTACAAAATACACAAGGAAAACTTTCGTAGAAAACAATAACATGGGGCTGCGTTTTCTACAATTCTCCCTTCTTTAGAAGTGAAACCTGTCGACGGGCTTTCGGGTCCTGCTGGAACGCCGTAACGTCGCTTCTTCCTGGAGTTCCACTGGGATTGCCGTCGGCGCGTCTGGATGGTGGCTTTCATCGTTTGTGATCGCCGAAGATGATGATGTTGTCGGAGGCCGCGTACCGGCCTGCTGGTCTAGCAGGTGATCCTCTTCCGGTATCCTCCTCCGTACTTGGTCAGCGTGGCGATGTACCACCTTTGATGGCGTTGAGACAGTCAGCATTCGCGACCCGGAGGTGGACTTGACTTGACCAGGCGTCCAGTTGTCTCCATCCCCGTAGTTACGAAAATACACAGGATCCCCTGGAGCAAACTTCCATCCAGGGTCATCATTCGTAGCGCCCCGTGCAACCGATGGAAAGCAGGTGTCGATCCTCCATCGAATTTGATAGCCCAGCAGGACTTCCCACGGGGATCTTCCGGAGGCTTGTGGCGTTCTTCTGTAATTGAACAGCATCCGAACAAGGTTAGTTTCCAAGTTCTCGCCTCGCATCTTCTTAATCCCGTCTTTGACGGTGCGCACGGCCCTTTCTGCCGGACCGTTGGATTGCGGGTGGAAGGGAGCGGTTCGAAGATGCGAAATGTTGTTCATCGTGACAAACGTCTTAAACTCCTGACTTGTGAACTGAGTTCCGTTATCTGACACCAACGTGCGCGGAATTCCAAAGCGACTGAACAACATACGTAACGTTGCTATCGTTGATTGAGTGGTCGCGTGGGACAATGGTACGGCTTCGATCCATTTGCTGTGTGAATCGACAACAATTAGTACCATTTTTCCCTTTATTGGCCCAGCATAATCAATGTGTATTCTTGACCAATTTTCCTTGGTCTCGGGCCAATTAACTGGCTCTTTCGCACTTGGCATAGGCATAGCTTGAACACATTCCCTGCAAACTGCCGCCTGGCTTTCAATTGCCCTGTCAAGACCAGGCCACCAGAACTTTGACCGCGCGACCGCTTTCATTGAGGATGCTCCTTGGTGGGTTTCATGAAGCAGACTTAACAATCGTTCCCTCGCCTTTGCTGGAATCACGACCCGGTGACCCCAGTACACGAGGTCCAGTGCTACTGAGAGCTCGAGCTTCTTGTCATAGAATGGTTGTAATTCGACTTCTAGGTGCTTTCGGCTCCTTGGCCATCCATCTAGGATGTGTCTTTTAACTTTTAGAAGCACGTCGTCACCGGCAGTCAGGTCTTTCAGTTCTCTGGTGGTTACGGTCCCTTCGTCAAAATTATGTAGTGCTAAAACATACTCCGGAAGCTCCATTGAGCTGCATGATTCCTTAGACGTCGGTAGCGGTAACCGGCTTAAAGCGTCTGCGTTGAACATCAGTTTACCAGGCTGGTAGTCCAGCTTGTACTGGTAGCCCCCAAGCAGCAGTGCCCAACGCTGGATCCTTGCAGCAGTCATGGCAGGGGTCGGCCGGCCCGGCTTTAGCAATCCCAGGAGTGGCTGGTGGTCGGTGACCAAGGTAAACTCTCTGCCCAAACGGTAATCGCGGAACTTGGTCACACCAAAAATGAGAGCGAGTGCCTCGCGTTCCAACTGGGAGTAATTTTTTTCCGCAGCAGTTAAGGTACGTGAGCGGAAACCGATTGGCCTGTCCTCCTTTCCTACACGGTGAAACAACACGGCCCCAACACCGTATGGTGACGCGTCACACTCCAAGCGCAGTTCTTTCGCTGGGTCGAAATGGGTCAACACGTTTCCTGTTGTTAAAGCTTTCCTTGCTTTCATAAATGCCTCGTCCTGTGCCGGGCCCCACACCCAACGACAACCCTTCTCTAAAAGTTGATACAGCGGTGATAGCAGTGTAGACATTTGTGGTAGAAATCTGCTGTAGAAGGTCAACATGCCGATAAATGAGCGCAGTTCACTCACGTTTTTCGGACACGGAGCCCCAGCGATGGCCTCAAGGTTCTTTTCTGTTGGGTGCAGTCCCTCTCCGTCAATCTGATGGCCAAGGTAGGTGACCGATTCCTGCCTGAATCTGCACTTTTCCTTGCGCAACTTCACCCCGTGCTCTCGGAATCGCTGCAAAAGACATTTCAGTTTTGTTCCATCGTTAGAGCTTTGTTCCGAAAGTATGACGTCATCTAAGTAGGCCTGCACATCTGGAAGACCTTGGAGGACACATTCTATCTTGCGTTGAAAGATAGCGGGCGCTGAGGCTATTCCAAATGGTAATCGGTTATAGCAAAAGAGGCCACGATGCGTGTTGATAACCGCAAGCTTCCGCGATTCCTCATTGAGAGGCACTTGGTTATACGCGTCCCGCAAGTCCAGTGTGCTGAAACGGTCACCGCCATTCAGACAAGCAAACATGTTCTCGATAACAGGGAGCGGGTACTGTTCTAACGCACAAACAGGATTCAGTGTCACCTTAAAATCCCCACAAATACGTACGGACCCATCTTTTTTTAGAACCGGCACAATGGGCGTAGCCCATTCAGAGTAGGCAACTGGTGAAATAATGCCGGCCTGTTCGAGCCTATCCAACTCCAGGGATACTTTCTCTCGTAAGGCAAACGGAATAGACCTTTCCTTGCAAAACTTTGGAGTTGCTCCATCCTTGAGGTACAAATGCGCAGGGGGTCCCTGAATGACTCCAAGCTCTGGAGAGAAGAGGTCTTCGTACTCGTCCAGTAGACTCTGGAGACCTTGCTGCTGATCACAGGGAGATTTCGGGATTGCTGTCAGGCTCAAAACAGGTACGTCACGTTGATTCAATTTCTGAATCAAGTCTCGTCCGCACAAACATGGACTTCGGCAATCCACGACGGTCAATATACCCTGTACGGTAGTCGACTGGTATACAACTTTCATGGTTAACTCTCCGATAACTGGAATTGATCCCATGTAGCAACCTAACTTCACTTGAGGCTTTTGAAGTCTTGGCCAAGTTTTCCGATGCCTTTCGTACATTTCTCTCGTTATGACGCAGACAGGTGACCCCGTGTCAATTTCCATGAACAGATCAATTCCACCCCACGTGAACGTGCGTCGCACTGGCGGCACAAGCTTCCTTTCTTTTAGGGTTATCAGATTCCAAATCTGTGTGGTCAGGCTGTCGTCATCTTCGTCCAGGGACTCTACTGCTTGTAGTTGGTTGTTTTATCCCTTGGCACTCTTAGGGTTACGACACTTGCGAGCCAAATGCCCTTGCTTGCCACACTGGAAACATTTTGCTTTCTGCCATTTACAGTTGCTACTGCTGTGATTGGCATTACCGCAACGTTCGCAGCCTACTGGTGAATGCAGCGATGTCCTGGCAGCGGGAGGCATCCTCTGCTGACCCTTCAGTGTGTGTACTTCGGATGGCCCACTTTCCCGCGACATTTTTTGTGCGTCGGCTTCTCCAGTTTCTGCTGCCACGGCTAGTGCTTCGGCGTCCTGCAAGCTCAGCTCTCGTTTGGCCAGCAACTGTTTCTGCAGATTCTTTGATCTGACGCCGCAAACGATTCGGTCTCGTAACATCCTGTCTAATATCGTCCCGAAGTTGCAGTTATTAGCAATTCTTTTTATTTCCAAGATGAATGCGTGCACTGATTCTCCTTCCTCTTGGCATCTATGGAAGAACTTGAAACTCTCCGAAATCTCATTTGGTTTCGGGTCGTAGTAATCGCTCAGAGCACGGACCGCTTCGTCATACGTTAGCGAATTTGGCTTCCTGGGCGCCACCCTTCCGCAAAGCGCTTGTATCGTACTTGTTCTCAGCGCTGACACCAGCAGAGCCCTTTTCTTAGCATCATCCACCACATCGTTGCCTTCAAAATATGACTCTATCTTCACAAGGTAAGCGTTCCACTTATCTTGTTCATCGTCAAATTGCGACAGATGGTGGGCCATGCTTGGAGCGTTGCCGGTTATCCTTGGAAACCCTGCGTCACCGGATACCGTCCCTGCCGTTGTCTGTTCATCACCCGCCTCTTGGTTCATGTGCTTGAAACTCGTCGCCACTGTTACGACGTGGCAGAGCCCGTCGCGAGTAAGACAGGCGTCCGGTGGTGGCTGAACGACTCCGAGGTTTATCGGTGCTCTGAAGACAAGAACGAGGATCGAACGCCACGTGCCAAAGCGAAAAACCACACGATCAAAAGAAAAAGAAAATATACACACGTGCTTTGGCACGTGATGAACATGATTACAAAATACACAAGGAAAACTTTCGTAGAAAACAATAACATGGGGCTGCGTTTTCTACACATTTTGTCTTACTTGGTGTGACGATCTGTGTTGGAAAAGACACGTCAATGTCGCTCAGTTCCTCTTCTTTTGTTTTTCTCACTAGCGCTCGCACAAGCCGCTTCCGATTACCGTCTCTTGCGCTCGCTACAGTTGGTACTCAGGTGAGGAAAGCAAAGAAGAGCCGCGTAATTCGTTAAGAAAAATTCCGAGGAAGGAGACACCAATCGCCCTCCTCCATAATCTCATGAACAGTTCGATGCGAGTGCTGAAGCCAAGAAGCTCGACTCGCCGGAAAAAAGAAACCGTAAACCAGTCGCTTGCGTACTTTCTCTGCTTGTCGTCAGCTTCAAGAACGCGAAAACGCCGCCTTCCTATGCGCCAGCTTTCCCGCAATGTTTCTCCTTCTGTCACGTGATTTCCCGCCGCGCTGTGAGAGGCCAGCGAGAAAGCTGCCGCTCTGCCTCGGCGAAATTGTCCAGCCTGGTGGAACCGTGCCGCTCAACCGCTGCGGCTGGAGAGAGGGCCGCCACAGCAGAAATCGCGCCGCTCTATAGAGCCAAAATCGCCGCATGTGAAACCCGCTGGCGACAGGCCGCCGCTATGTCTCTGATCGTGCGGGCACGCCCGTGTGATTGCATGCTGGTCAAAGCTACGTTCACGCGCACGTTGCACGTGCTTGCACGCATGCACGCATGGGGCACCAGTCGGAGCGCCATGCTTGCAATAGACCTTTTCCGAAGTTCAGTCTGGCCACTTTGATTGCTATCATCATCATCTGAAAAATGCCATATGTGCCGCTAAAGTTGAGGCTTGAGCGAGTTGGTACATACTTCGGAAATTAAAAACAGCGCGGAAAGACGAGGACCAGACAAAGAAGTGACACGGACGGTGACACATCACATGGGCTGAACTTTTTATGTTCTTTTGTTCGTGACACCGCAAATAAATATTGCGAGTTTGCGTTCAATAAACTCAGTTGTAAGTCAGCGCTACGTCCGTGTCACTTCTTTGTCTGGTCCTCGTCTTTCCGCGCTGTTTTTAATTCCCATATGTGCCGTACTACTGCTGGCCTTCTGTTTACTGATGAAGAAACATGTTGAGGATGCACATAAGCCGAAGATTCGAGGCCTATACATTCGAGACGTTAGCACGTTGTGAAGCAGGAATTGAATGCGAGAGCTGCGTAAGCGTTTATTTCTCAAACTGTCGGGCCCAGTCAATCTGTTAGTAGCACAGAATCCACTTCAAATCCCCCTGACGTATAGATCTTTATCAAGGTGTCTATCTGGGTTGGCGCTTCGTTCTGACTGCTTGCATCTTTGTGGCCATCGACACTGAAAGAGATGAACGAGAAAGAACAGTACAGTGAAGAGCACATTCTCGTTTGCCGTTGACTCGCTAAAGTGACGGTGCCCGATAAAATACTGCAGGCTACATTTATTGACGCCATTAGTACGGCCAGAGTTAAACCGCCATTTGAGTTACCAGATGGCACTGAATTTCGGAAAGGGTCTATTGTCTATACAGCTCCACTTTCAGCGCTTGCTCGCTGGCTTCCGCACTGCTTTGGTTGTGCGTGCCTGCGCGTTCACATTTCCGTTAGCAAGAGCAGAAAGATCGCGCTGAAGGCGAAGGTTCTATAGTCTGTTGCAACCCAAGAAGGTAGGGCGAGGGTAAGGATGGGCCCTGGGAGGAGGAAGCAGACGGAACGCTAAAGAGAGAAGGAGGTTTCTCCTCTTTTCCCCAGCGTTCCGTCTGCTTCGGCTTTCCCGGCCATCCTTACCCTCGCACACCGTGCCCTCGACCTACCGTATTGAGTTGCAATGAACTATTCGCGTCTCCACCTCGACGCTCGCCCTCCCGCGGCGGAAACGGGAAGCGCTCTAGTGAGGGTCCCCCGATTCCCCTGCTCAGCGGGCATGGCGGAACTGCTCGCGATCATGGCTCGCGAAATGTTGTTTCCGAATACAAACAACACTCTTCACTGTCCCAACGTAGTGCTGCAGTCGGTATGGGATTGTACCTTACTGGAGAGTTTTAGTATTGCGCCTAGAAGCAAACGCAAGCGGTGTGCGTTTGCGTTAGAGTTGCGTGCCCCACGTTGTGCGTGCGCCTCATCGCCATGCGCCATCCAAGACCGCGATTTTGGGCTCCGCGCACGCGCAGTGTGGAACGCGCAAAGCTAACGCAAACACACAGGGCTTGAGTTCGCTCGTATACGCAATATTAAAACTCACTACTGTTTCACCGGCTTCCAACGCCAACGAAACGTGCTGCAGTGAGCAGACGTGCAAGCAGGTAGGCGTTCCTTCGAACTGGAAAGGCTGAGATTATCAAAACGACGGCGAGCAAATACAAAAGTAAATAAATGTTATAAAAAAAACTAGTAATTAAAAAAAGCTTTTTTTTAACTTTTGGACATTTGGTCCTGGAAGTATATTGGCGGCGACTTTGGACGTTTCGCCGATTGTCAAAAGTCGCGACTTTGATAGCACAATATACTTTACCCACAATTAATGTAATTTCACGTGGATTTCTCACATTGGCTAGAATGTTTTCATTGATTTTAGACTATTTTTATTTTATTTGTAATTAAAATGCAGCAATTCGAACCAGTGATAATTAGCACAGTTTTCATTGTCATATTTCTTCGCGCGTTTAAAATTAGATCATAAGCAACAAATTACATTAGAGCTTGAAGAATTACTTATTCACATATGTGAATTTTAATATTATTATTATTAATACAAGTCGCGGCAATGTATGCCTCTAATTAATTCCAAGATCACGAAAATACTCTTTTTAACCATAATAGTCTTTCCAGAAAGCTATAATTTTTTTTC